GTACGTAGCAGTTTGTGATGTATGTCAGAGAGTGAAGGCAGAGCATCAGAAGCCAGCAGGTTTGCTACAGCCATTGCCTATACCCGAATGGAAGTGGGATAAACTAGGCATGGATTTTTATCACGGGATTGCCCAGGACTCGTTCAGGCTATGACTCGATATGGGTTGTAGTCGATCGATTGACGAAAGTAGCTCATTTCATCCCAGTAAAGACCACTTACACCAGTGCTAAGTTGGCAAAGATATATATGACCAGGATCGTATGTCTGCATGGAGTTCCGAGGAACATTGTATCAGATAGAGGAACCCAGTTTATTTCAAAGTTTTGGAATCAGTTGCATGAAACTTTGGGAACCAGACTAGAGTTCAGTACAACTTTTCACCCGCAAACAGATGGACAGACTGAAAGAGTAAATCAGATTCTGGAGGACATGTTGAGAGCTTGTGCGCTAGACTATGGATCTAGTTGGGACGATAATTTGCCTTATGCAGAGTTCTCTTATAACAACAATTATCAAGCCAGTTTGAAGATGGCCCCTTTCGAAGCACGATACGGAAGGAGGTGCAGAACACCATTATTATGGGACAAAGTTGGAGACCGACAGTTGTTTGGACCAGATTTGATTAAAGAGTCTGAAGAGAAGGTTAAGCTGATTCGTGATATACTCAAGGTAGCCCAATCCAGGCAGAAGAGTTATGCGGATTCGAAACGCAAGGAGACAGTCTACGAAGTCAGAGATAGAGTGTATCTTCGAGTATCACCACTCCGAGGAGTGAAGCGCTTTGGAGTTAATGGAAAGTTAGCACCACGTTTTGTGGGACCATACAGAGTTTTGGAACGTATGGAAGAAGTTGCTTACAAGTTTGAATTACCCGAAGGATTGTTCGGAGTTCACGATGTGTTCCACGTTTCTCTATTGAAGAAGTGCCACGCGAAGATGGCTGAAATTCCTCTGAGAGATACAGTGCCGCTAGAATCGATACGGTTGGATAGTGATTTGACATATGAGGAGAAACCAGTCGAGATACTCGACTTTGCCAGCCGAGTTACGCACAACAAGGTTATCAAGTTTTGCAAGGTTTAGTGGAGTCACCATACCGAGGTTGAAGCCACTTGGGAACGAGAGGAAGACTTACGGAAGGATCACTCTCACCTATTTTTTAGCCAACCCGAATCTCGAGGGCGAGATTCATCTTAAGGGGGTAGGTTTGTAACATCCTAAATTTTCAATTTGGAATGTCATGCATTAGATCATCATTGTATATCATATTTTATTGCATTTTGGTTGATCCTAGAAATTCTACGCAACTCAACGACCCACGGAGAGAGTTGGGGATTTCGTTGTTTTCATATTTGAGTTTTTCTCGAATTTTGAAAAGAGTATCGTTTGATTTTAATTATTTTTCTCTAAAATATTTCTTTTATTAAAAATAAAAGAGAGGGGGGATAAAATGACTTCCTCAAAATAAAGAAATATCAGAGATTTAATTTTAAAATCAAATAAGATTTTTATCCTGAGTTTTATCGTTATTTTATTTGAATTAGGAAAAATATGTGTTTTTCAAAATTGCATTTTAGGCCAAAATAAATGTTCACCTTGTCTGGCTTACGTTTAGAGGACGGAGAAAATTTATTTCGGGATTTTTTGAGTATGTTTAGTATTTATTTTCTTTCTTTTTCTGTGCGTCAAAATTATTTAAAAAAAGGTCAAACCGACTTAGGGCCGTTTTCGGCCAGGACTCTTGGGACCGGCCCCCTTTATAAGCCGCACCCCCGCAGCCCACCAGCCCCGCCACCCAAACTCTAACCCTAAGCCGCGCCGCCGCCGCGCCGCACGCCGCCGCCCGCGCCACACGCCGCCGCGCCGTCCCGCCGTCGACCCGCCGCCCTCGCTGGACGTGCCGAAGGTAGCCGCCGCCGGTTTTCTTTGGAAAACCATACGGTTTATTTTTTTAGATCCGTGGTTTATTTATTTATTTAGATCGGTTTTTTTTGGCTTATTTATTTAGCGAACGTTCGTCCGTACGTTCGTTTTTTACGAACGGTTTTCACCGTTTAGCCGCAGACAGCGAACGTTTGTTCATTAGACTGTTCGTCAGTTTTTCTTTTTCTCGAATTTTCCGCGATTATTTTCGATCGCGATTTCTGATCCGATTTCGTTCTAGTATAACTTTTCGCTCGTTTATCGGAATCAGGCGATTCAAGCGCCTAGAGTTTCATCTCGAAACCCTCTTTCCGTTTAACCAACTTAAACAAGTTTTTGCTACTGTAAAATTTGAATTTAGTCCAGATTAGTAAACGAAGCTTGTTTCCCTCGCCGTTTAAGTTTTGTTGCTTTGTTTGATTTGATTCTTTTTGCAAACCGGAGTTCTTAAGTTGAACTTTCTGGTTAGATCTCCTATTTGAGTTTATCCGTGCTTTTGCTTGATTGCTTATTGTATGCTTGTTTGATTGCGATAGAGTACCCGGAGTGCGAAGCATGCTACATCGAGTCTCTAGGTTTCGCGGATCATCAGCAAAGCAAGTAACACATTGATCATACTCCTCCCATACCCAGTTTTTATGCATTAGTTCCAATCCTCAAACATTGCATGATTAGGATGTGATTAACATGTGGGACGGGAAGTAGTTGATGAGGTAGAACCTATTGCCCTATTATATTCAAATCTTGGGAGTTACTTCTACGTTGCTTATATTGCTATGCTATGCTCATAGACGTGGATTAGGTTTGAGTGTATTCATGACAGATGTGAGATTCTTAAATTAATGGTTAACTTAAGGTGGCAATTTTAATACACATCTGGGTGGATTGAGGCACCTGGGGAACCCAGTGATTGCCTATACTTTTGGAAATTCCGGGGTACTGTGTGATTCTCCTATGGACCGCCACCCAGACTCAAAGGGATCATAAAATTTTTCATACTGGAAACTTCCGTGTGCAGCCACATGCCATTATGGACTCTGGCATAGTTGAGTAAGTTGTGGGAAACCTTTCCATGGTGGGCTAGAAGATGTAGAGGATTGTAGGTGTATCGGCCTATCTATCGGTTAAGGGGGCCTCTTCGGAAATACTGTGTCTCGGTCATCCATTTTTCAAACATTATGTAGTGCGAGAATTCCAACGGAGGAGATCGAGTCTTGTGGGAAAAAGTGCACAAACCTCTGCAGAGTGTACAAACTAATCATGGTTAGTCGTGTCCCCGGTTATGGACATCTTGAGTATCTGGTTCTTAGATTATCTTGTGGATCTTATCACTCTTAATATAATTTGATTGGGTTTAATGATGATTACTTTTAATTGGGATTGAGTTGGGTGAACCTTCTCAATGTTTACTAACCACCATGATAGTTAAATAAAACTTATTTCTTTGCAGTAGGGAAAATTAGTTTTTCGTAAAACATTTAACCTTACAGCCTCCACCAGCCATATATGCATGTAGTGATAGCATTATTCTGTTCGTTACTCTCTTGTGTTACATTGCCAGCATATACCATGTGCTGACCCGTTTTTGGGCTGCAACGTATCATGTTGCAGACTTTTTAGACGATGAGTAAGGAGCCTTAGGTCGTAATCTTTCACTCAGTGATGCCGTTGAAGTTGATGAACTCACTTTATCTTCCAAGTCTTCCGTTGTTATCGTATTAGATGGCCTTAAGTCATATTTATTGTAATAAGTTCTCTTTTGAGACATTAGATGTATTAAGTGTGTGATTGCTACTCTGTTATAAATTCTTCGAGTAATATGTGTGTCAGCATTACCGATCCAGGGATGACACTATGCATAAAGATCAGACTGTTTAAGGTCTAGTCGCTATAGACCTGCTCCTTGGTCAACCCGGCCGCGAACCCCACACACGTCTTCCTCGGCTTCACGCTGCTGCTCCTCGGCGTCTTCCTGCTCACGTTCTCGCCCGCCGCCTACCAGTTCCTCTGGGTTCCCCAGGTTGGCGCCTTCCTTGCAAAAGCCGTGGTGAGCCACCAGCTCCTGTTCTCTCTGCGTGAGAATGTAAATCTGCTGACTTCCCGTCTGTAGTGTCGCCGTCGTTCACTTTCAGTGTACCTGTATTGGGATGTGATGTTACACATTGTCAGCATCACGTACTGTTCGTGTTTTTTCAAAATTTATATTTTTTATAAATAAATAAATTGTCGCTGATGCACTTGACAGACTATCGGAAAAACAACGAACTTTCTTTGCCTCCGTGGTCCGGGTCTGTCATGATGATCAACGGTTCAGTGTACTGGTCACGTGGCTTGGGCTGCCTTATGACGCAGTAGACCGGCACATTATACAGCCAGATGGAAACAAGCGTGTCTGTCTGCCACGGTCACGGTCACTGTTCGGCTGGCGCGTGAGCTGAGCCGTGACCGTGACGTAACCGAGCCGGTCTCCTTTCCCATACAGCGTGTTTGTTTGGGGTAATTAGAGTCAGAGAATGGAATTAAAGGGGTATGAGATTTAAAATCTATTATTTGATTGGAGGGATTGGGAATTCACAAGGGAAGAGGCATGAGACTTAAGACTTCAACTCCCACCATTTTATTAACAGGGGAGAGGGTGAGAGTTGGAAGGGAATTGTTTAAGTGAGTCAATCTTAACTGTTCATCCTAACTTTCCTTGTCTAGTCCCATGTCAATTCTCATGAACCAAACAAGGAAGTACAATTTCTTCTCAAATTCCCACACATAACTCCTATCACGCATCAAACAGAGGATTGAAAATAAAATGACTTATCCCATGTCTAATCTCAACCCAACTCTGAGGTTGTTATTTATCAGATTTACTTTCTATCTGAAATTTATAAGATTGCAGTGTTTTGTTGCTTTGTTCATCTTTTTTCACACTTTTAACTTGGTGATTTAGCATGCTTGGTTTCAAGTTGCTCAATATGCATATCTATTACCAAATTTAGATTATTAGAGTCTTTGTTTCATCAATTTGTTTATCTGTTCATATACATCTCTAACTAGGCTACTTATTTCCTCTTTTGTTTGCAGATGCAGATCTTTGTGAAGATCCTCACTGGCAAGACCATCACACTTGAGGTTGAGTCATCTGACACGATCGACAATGTCAAGGAAAAGATACAAGATAAGGAGGGAAACCCACCAGATCAGCAGCGGCTCATCTTTGCTGGCAAGCAGCTCGAGGACGGGCGAACACTTGCTGATTACAATATCGAGAAGGAATCCACCCTCCACTTGGTGCTCAGGCTCAGGGGTGGCATGCAAATCTTTGTGAAGACCCTCACCGGCAAGACCATCACCCTCGAGGTTGAGTCTTCCGATACGATTGACAATGTCAAAGCGAAGATCCAAGACAAGGAGGGCATCCCCCCAGACCAGCAGCGGTTGATATTTGCCGGCAAGCAACTTGAGGATGGACACACTTTTGCTGATTACAACATTCAGAAAGAGTCCACCCTCCACTTGGTTCTCCGTCTCCGTGGTTGCATGCAGATCTTTGTCAAGACCTTGACTAGCAAGACCATCACCCTAGAGGTGGAATCTTCAGACACCATCGACAACGTGAAGGCGAAGATCCAAGACAAGGAGGGCATCCCCCCGGACCAGCAGCGCCTGATCTTTGCTGGTAAGCAGCTCGAGGATGGTCGCACTCTGGCGGATTACAACATTCAGAAGGAGTCTACTCTCCACCTGGTGCTTCGCCTTCGTGGTGGCCAGTGAGTTCTTCGCACTCCTGGAAGTTTGATTTGAGTTCGCCTGGTGCCGTCTTGCTGGTATCCGAGTCATTATGTGTGCTTTTACTTAAAGCTTTGTAGTCCTGTGCCATTTGTGAGACACAATTGGTGCTTCCTTTAAGCAGCTTAATATCTGTTATGAAATATAAGTGATCCTGAATCTTCTTATTCCTTGATAAGCTGATTCTCGTTATCCTGTGATTACGGTTGCTTTGTGCTGGTTCTGTGATTCATAGATGTTCAGACCGTAACATTGAGGGGGATGAAAAATTTGGGACGGAGGTAGTACTTCAGAATATCTTAGTTTATACAGGTTACTTCCTCTATCAAAATAAAAGATGCTTTTTGACAGTATGATAGTGTCAAAAAACGTATTATATTTTAATAGAGAGGGAGTATAATTATCTAAATTCGAGTGCTGTTGGTCTGAATCAACAATCGGTTGTTTTGAGGGATATTCAGAAGAGTGCAGATTTCCCCTGCAGTATATGCATGTTCAGAATGCAGATAACTTCATGCAGTACAGTGTATATCCAGACTTTTTACATGTCGTCCCTCGAATCAGTGGGTGTTCATCACCTATAGAAAAACCAAACCTTTGAATCAGTCAGCAGTATCCATCGAGTGCTGAGACGCCGCTCAGTCCAATCAGCCGCTGCGGGTCATCCCACCATCTAGTTCAAACCATGATGTACATTACACCGACCGAGCAACATGTACATACGCTACCTAACACAAATCTGCATGCATTAGTCCACACAAGATATATCTATTGAAAATCCACTTCTGAGACCAGGCTCATCTGCACCCGCGGTGACGAAAAAAATCAAAACAAATACTGAAAAATTCAAAAAATTCCATTTTTTTGCATGATAGATAATTTGATGCGTGAGGTCTGCTCCAATTTTTAAAACATTTGGATATCTGAGCAGCTCTCGGCAAAAAAGACAAATTCGGGGCCTTCATGCAATGTTCTGACCCGATTTGTCTTTTTTGCGGAGAGCTGCTCAGATGTCCAAATGATTTGAAAATTGAAACGTACCTAATGCACTAAATTTTCAATGATGCAAGTTTTTTTAAAAATATTTTTATGATTTTTTTCAGACTGGATGCAGATGAGTCTGGGACGCTGCACTCCTATGCTAGGTAGGATTCATTCAGCATCCACGGCGATGCGTCGTTGTAACGTTAGACTTGTAAATGGCAGACAGATTCAAAGGTTATCCTGCAAATCAGGCAAATTCAAGCCACTTTTCTGGTTATCCTGTCAAACAGTAAAAATGGTGTTGAGATATGGTACATTTTAGAATGGTAAGATAACACAGGAGATTTCATTTTGTTGAAAAAATAACATGTGAGATTTCCAGACCTGAAGCAATAGGTTCCAATAGCATCCTTGATTCATCGGAGAAAACAGCACGCAGAGCTTGGATTTGTTGAGTTCAGTATAAGATGCCACTACCTGATGGTTGTTTAACAGGACATGCACTGGAAGAACCATCTGTTATACCCAATGCCACTCAAGGGAAAATACGAAAAATAAGAGGTGGTAGATAGATACTGTTTCCCGTGGGATTTGGAGAATGCATGAGACTTCTGCTAAGCTCATCATTAATCAGATGATCTTCATAGATCCTCATGGCAATAGTAATTTAATTCGTCATTCCATGTTGCCCTACTAATCAGCCTATCTAGCCAACTAACAAAACTGAGGGGACTGACACAAGAAAACTCAGCAGGTTCAGTGGGCCACAAATTATCGAAGAAAAGAAACTGAGATCTTCTTTGAATTCAGATGAATAAGATCTTCCTTGACCCAAAGTACCATGTCGTCATATCGTATAGCCTCTCATCTCAGTTCTCCACTGATCCTTATTTGCTTTGGGTCTTTGTGAAGACCCTAAGAGCATCTCCAACAGGCGCGCTAAACAGGCGCCGCGCCACAAAATACCCCGTTTTAGCGCGCGCGCAATCCGGCGGATCGCTCCAGCGGGTGCGCAATAACCGCGCGCGCGGTATAAGCAGTTGGGTGCGCGCGTGGATGTGGTTCATCACACGGTGTATTTGCGGCGCCCGCTTCCGCGCGCGGCATACTCGACGCTCGCGCTCTTTTTCTCCCCCTCCAAAGCCCCGCGCGCGCCGGCGCCGGCGACCCACACC